CTGCCAGAGATCGTCAGAAAAGTTATGCAGACAATCGTCGAAAACCCTTAGAATTCCAAGTTGGAGACAAGGTACTTTTAAAAGTGTCGCCTTGGAAAGGGCTTGTATGTTTTGGTAAGAAAGGAAAACTAAGCCCAAGATATGTTGGACCCTTTGAGATCATTGAAAGGATTGGTCCGGTAGCGTATAAACTCCAATTACCCCAAGAGTTAAGCGCCATTCATGACACATTCCACGTTTCCAATCTTAAAAAATGTCTAGCCGACGAAGCATTGATAGTACCCCTGGAGGAAATTAAGTTCAATGATAAGCTAAACTTTGTTGAAGAACCGATAGAAGTCCTTAACAGGGAGGTAAAACAACTTAAGCGGAGTAAGATTCCGATTGTGAAAGTTCGATGGAACTCAAAACGCAGGCCAAACTACACCTGGGAGCGTGATGACTTCATGAAGGAAAAGTATCCACAACTTTTCCCAAGCGATGACAAACGATGACATAGAATGAATTTCGGGATGAAATTCTTTTTAAGTGGGGGATACTGTGACAACTGTCAAATTCAGGTCATTCTCGGACTCATGCATCTTTATAAAAACCATTCATGCACAACATGCCATGGCCTAGTAGTATAAATTAGGTCAAAAATCTTGCATAAACTAGAATCCAACTAAGATCTAGGACTAATATACTTGATTCTTACGATTCTAGTAAGTTGCCTAACTACAATAGGAAATGCCAATACCATAATTAGAATGAAACTTCAAACTTTGTTACAATTGAAAAAGGGTATAAAACCCTAAAAATAAATTAAAATATTCTAATTACATTTCAATATAATGGTGAATATCAAACAATGTTCCAAAAACCCTAAAGAGCCAAAAATCCAAATTTATAAACCTTAAAGCTTAAAAACTTTATAAAATTTGGCTATAAACTTCCTAATATCAAATTTTTATTAATCAAATTATGGATTATAATCAATGAAATAAAATTTGATTTATTAAACATCAAGCATAATTTATTTGTTAAAAACAAATATTTTTAAATAAATCAAGAATTACATAAAGAAGAATTTTTATAAAAATTCTTGGGTTTTACAAAAATGAAGAGGGAATTTATTTAATTTGAATTTTAGGAGAGAGAGGGCCTTTAATCCACCCAAAATCCAGCCACCCTCTCCCCATGCTCTCCCTCTTCCCAAAACTTCATTAAGATCTAATCCCCACTCTTCCATTTTTCTCTTCACTCGCTCTCACACTCCACCCTTCTAACACTCAAACTCTCTTTCTCTCTCTTTAACTCACGAAAATCATCAGCGAAGAACACCTCTCCACACTCAAATCTTCATCCTCCAAGACTAATCTTCAAGGTAGACACGAAAATCTTTCACTTTTCCTTACTTTTCTTCTTGTTTTTAAAAGGTTTTTCTTGTATTTCTCTTCCTTTTACACCATTCTTTATGAACATTCATGAACATGCTCATGAATATCGAGTTTGATGATGATGGTGTTAGGGTTTCACCCTAGAACAACATGCATGTTGTTTAATGGTGAAATCCAAGGACTAAAACCTATGTCAAACACTAAAGTTCGGATTTTTACAAGTTTTGAAGGTTCAAACACCTTATGCTTTCAAGTATTTCTTTTAAAAACATTACTATGACAAACATATGTCCATGCATGGTCTTCAAATCGTAATGCATGTGACGAACACCAAGCTAATGAGCTTGATGATCAAAGAACATTGTTAATAGTGCATGTAAATGATTTTGTCTATAAAAATATCTAAAAGTTCTTTTCTGTTCAAACCAAAATTTTTCCAGATTCCCATTAAGGTAATATGAAGATCTGGAAAATATCAAGAGTTTTTATCATTTCTTTGATTTAATAAAATTGTTGCAAGAAAACAAGGGCATAAATCACATAAAATACTTCCAAGGTCTATAAATCCAGAATAAATTCGTGGATGACCCCTATGCTGAATAATGACCCCTCATTAAATTTCATCGATTTTTGTTGCTGTGTAATATGATTTTCGATTTTCTTTTTGTTTGGGTACAATAAATCATAAAACCACTTTAGAGAGTGTGAAAATCTTATTTAACAATTTTTTCAGCTCTTACCTGTGGTGGTAGACTCAGACAAAATAATTTCAGAATTTTTCATCATACCCTCCTATTTTTCCCAATTTTTGGTACTTATGATGGCCTAAAAATAGGAAAAATAGTTCTGATTATCCAAAATTCGTGAAATGTTACCAGAACATCATGTTTTATAGTTGAAGGTTACATAAAAATTTTGATGATTTTTTTCTAATGTAAACTATTTTTCTTCTATTTTCTAAGGTTAAATACACTTAAATACAAATAAATACCCAAAACCGGATTATACAATATGAAAACCACTTTTGGTATTTTTCCCAGATTACTTAAACTGTAAATTATGTGACAAAAGTTTTTGGTAATTTATTTTAACGGTTTATTATTTATTCTTCAATTAATGATTATTTAAGGGGATAAAACAAGGAAAAATAGAAATACCCACCGAAAAATATCTTTTATATTTTTCCCAACCTAGTTATGTATAATAACAGTTAAATAAAAAGTTTGGGTAATTTTGGAAACTGTTTTCTATTTATTCCAATTTTTATTGGAATAAATGTTCAAATATCATAAAATATAATCAAACAGCTTGGAAATCCATTTTTATATTTTTTTCCAGCTTAGTAGTGTGTAACAACAGTAAAATAAAACGTTTAAGAATTTTTCTCCTTTTAATGCAATTTTTCGTGAATTTATTTTGTTATAAAGGCTTAAAAATTTGGAAAATAGTTAACCATATCAAAAATTCAAGGAAAAATTTTCTGGAAAACCTCTATTGTATTTAAAATGAAAAATAGAAGGTTTAACAATTTTTGTAAACTATTTGATAATATTTTACATTTTTAGGTATTTGAAACACATTTAAATGTGTTGAAACACCCTTAAATTTATATTACTAAATCTGGAAAATTAATATCTCAAAGTTGTATTAATCGCATAACTTGTATAATTTCATCATTTCAGAAAGTGTGTAACCAATCAATATAAAATCCAATATTAGAACATAAATTGGCATTTCACTATATGTAGAGTTTAGTATATAAGCATTAGATTTCGACATGGAAACTCACTAGTGTGTGTTTGATGTCGTAGGATCCCGGTATTAAGACGTTGGTGTATTTCGAGGCACTACTTGTATCTACTCGAAACATTGTGAGTATTCACGCACTCCCATATTTTCAGTTTTTATGTTTTGCGGTGGAAAAACATGTCCAGAAAAACTATTATTTGCATGTTGTATTTAAATTGATTTGTATCAAACATGATTGCTATTGTATTGCTATGTCTCTCTATGTATGCCTATGCAACACAAAACACGAGAACTTATCGTACTAAGGACCTTCCCTTATCTTTAACCACTAACTCTTTGAGCCAATGGTCATTATGGATAACGCTATTAGGAATTGACAACTCCTCACTCACCCTATTGTTGGAGTGCATGATACCATATTCATCTATGGAACGATAAGCATAGATCTTGATAGGGCTTCAGTTATAGGTTTGGTTGAGACTCATTGTTTGCTCATACACATACAAACTCGTTTCTCGTTATAGCAATAAACTTGTATTCATTAATAGCAATCAACTTTGTTTCTCATTAAAGCAATGTACTTGTATTTACGAAAAGCCTTATTCAAGCTCGATTTTATAAACTTGTGAACTAACCAACTATTTTCATAGTTGATGCTCGTTTTACATGCTTTTTCAAGAAATAATTAGTAAGTGGATATAAAGATTCATTATCATAGAGCATGCTGCATCGTGTTGAAGTAATTTATGAAGTTATCTTTGAACAATGTTATTTTGGAAAAACTTGTATTTTGTTTCTTTTTAAGCTATGGGTTGTAAACTTTTAAATACTGCTATGGTGATGTATCTTTATCTTTTGCAATGAAACCGTTATCGCTGTCATATCTTGCGTTTCCGCTTTAGCGGGGTGTGACAATTACCACGGAGTCTAGGTCGGATTTGTGATGGGCTCGATCCATGGTTAATAATTCTTCTGAATTACAACCAAATCGGCTGTTGATTTTCATTTCCCTCCATAGGTTTTCATCCCCTCCAATTCCATTTTTCATTCCCCCCAATTGCACAATGAAAGCTTATCCTTTCCATCCTTAGGTTTATGATTCCTCCAAATTCCATACGTTACCTCTCGGCATTTTTTTCATGCCCCCGGTTGCACATTCTTCTTCTCCCTCCCAAATTGAGGCCGTTGTCACTCACAATATGAATCAACCGTCGCTCACCATCACCCAGAAGACCAACTCTTCCTTGCTTGGAAACGAAAACGGAAGGTTCATGCTACACCCCTAACATCGACGATTTCTCACAGGTAAGCTCTCGTTACCTCCGATTTCTTGGAATTGTTTTGTATATAGATTTAGAGTTTTTTATTTTATAGATTTCGACCTGATTCTTTTTTACAAAGGGTTCGATTAAGAATCAGTTTGAAACACAATCCAACAAAACACTACTGGATTGACTTCTTTCTCCTTATTTTTCAATAAAACCTTATCAATTTGGTTATGTTGCTAGTATCATTCATGAAATTCTGTCACCTTCTTGTTGTGGTGGATATGAAAAAACTTACACTTTCTTGTTCAGCGGCAAATATGTTCAAATATATAAAACATAAATAACATATATAATATTTTTTACATTCATATATATATATATATATATATATATATATATATATATATATATATATATATATATATATATATATATATATATATATATATATATATATACACCTTAAAAAGCATTTACAACACCCGCCTGTTTGACTTAGCTTTTTGACTTGGTCGCCATTTCCTATCCCCTCCAACAAACTCCCCTGTTATATCGTCCTTTCTTTCGCCCTACGATGTTATACCTCTGTTAATCTCTTCTTTATATGTATATAACCCTCCCCCGCCTCCATTCTTCTCTATACCACCACCTTACACCTGATCCATACCACTTACCGTGGACGTCAGCTCCACATCACAGCACCACCATCGCACCTGTATTACACTGCCATCACCAACACGCTCCACCATCAACACCTTTCTCTTTCCCCTTCCTCGACCATCGGTATAATGAGAAACCCTAGCTATCACAATCTTCAAACTTATTAATCGCAGACGATCACAAGCCATCACCCGGTCTGCCATCGACATCGACCATCACGATTTGGTAGTAGAGAATCAAAAATTTGTCTACACATATATGGTAAGATGACTGATTACATAGCTATGCTCTTGATTTTCTGGTTTGGTTTTTGTGTTTTACAGTTATCCTTTTCAATTTTCGATTTTGCAGGTTTCAACTCGATTAAAGGTATGAAATCACCCTTCTTCCCACATAAGATTTCTTCTTTACATTTTTTGACTTCATGGATTTTCATTTGGCATGAATTGACTTGATGTTATAGTGATCCTATGATTTGTTTGTTTGTGGATCAAACAGGTGTACCTTTTCCCTCCTTAATCTGTTGCTTTCTTATTCTCTTGGATTAGACAAATCTTCATTTCTGAATTCTCTCCTACTGATCTAGTTTTTTCAAAATTACTTACAATTTTTGAAGTATGTGTGGGTTTGTGTATTCATTTTCAAAAAATGTGCAGGAATGCATAGGTGTATGCATCTATTTGTATTGTGTGTGTATTTGTTTGTGCAGGTGTTGGAAGTTCCAAATAATAGGGATTCGAAGGTTTCCATAAATAGTTTAATCATCTATAACAGTTTCATGATTATATGATTTTACAAAGGAAAAAATATTAAAAACTAAGTCCAGACCCAATTACCTTTTTACCCTCCAAATTGTTGGATGTGCCAAATCGACAGAAGCCTGGTAAGGAACGAAAACCCAAATGGTAACCTGGTCAATTTAGATGGATTTGTTGCGTATGCTTTTTTATTTTCGTCAGTTTTTCTTTGTGTTTTTTTCTTCCCAATTTATAAATGATTTTTGGCTTTTATTTGCATTTTCGCTCGTATCACACTTTCTATGAAAGATTCATATGATATGTCTATTTTTTGGTCCACTTTATATGTATCGGGTTCGATTTTAATCAAGAAATCTATATCTCAGTCAACTTGCATCTCCATGCACAATAATAATTGTTATTTAACTTAGTTTGACAAATTTTGTTTTCTATTTGTATTTTCAGCCATCAAGTCAAATACAAATAGAGTAAACTTCTTGCTAAGTTTCATGGAAGTTAGGAAGGCAACCATCTTTTCTGTAATTCACTTCAAGTTTCAAATTATAATGTTCTTATTAAACTTTTTGAGAATTCCGATGCTATTTTAAATAGATTTAAAAAGTACAGTTCTATAATCAGATAATGGCTCTGTTTTCTTTGAGGAATTGAAAGCTTATGTGGTTTTTTGCAGGTAGAGAATAATAGCTCTGGTTGGATCTATTGGATCATTGTCTTAGTTTACAAATCTTTTGACTGTAAGTAACTTTAGTTTCTTTTCTTTCTTTTTTTTTAATCGGCCCTAAACCATGAAATAAACTAAAACCTTGACTAGATTTGGGTATCAACAACTGTTTCCAAGTATGCGTCCTGGTGGTGCTCCAATGTCAATTTTCTTTATGCTAATGGTCCAACAAAACGCCCAGGTGTGTGCTATTGGTCCAGGTTAGCAAAATCAGCAGCATGTTCCCCTTATGAGGTAACATGTTTAAATTCTAATCTCAACCTGCATCATGTTTTTTATAACATTTCAGTGACATCAATTATTAATTAATTAAATAACAACTAATGGATGATCTCACATGGGAGGATGTACTGTTACCCCCTGGTCACAACGTATAACTTGAATTGGAGGTGGTGGAATGGCATTGAGAGACATTGGAATCTCACAACCCATTCCGATTGGTGCTTTGGTTTCTGCACTTCTTCACCCATAGAACAGACGACGGTATACTGCATTTCTTTTTAGTTAATTTTCTTTAGATTAAATTACAATTTTGTCCCTCCGTTTGGATTTATTTCCATGTTTAGTCCCAAAACAAAACTGGTTCACAATTTTGGTCCTTATAGTGATTTTTACAAAAATGAAGCAGTAAGTCTGTCTAAAGAGTAAATTACAAGAATTGCCCCTTAGTTATACGCAAAGTTCCAGTTTAGTGTTGTTTCAAATAGGTACCTATTGTTTTTGTTAAAATGACTTTTTTACCCTTATATAACACAATTAATCTAATATCAATATGGGCAATAAAATTATTTTACATGACGAAAACAAAACCTAGGTGCTATTTTCTTTTACTATATGACACAGGGACCATTCTTTCAACTTACTATTAAATCAAAAAGTATATGCTGCTAAATTTTTTTAAATGACCATCTTGCCCTTGGAGCCAAAACTTAAAAAAAAAAAAAAAAACAACATACTACAGAGACCAAATATGTAAATTTTCCATAAGCATATTATTAAACTATATTTTTTGTAATGCATATATTCAAAAGTATCCAATTTTTTTTGTTGAGCTTTATTAGACGAAAACAAAGCCTAGGTGCTAATTTTTTGAGTATATGACACAGGGACCATTCTTCCAACTTACTATTAAATCAAAAAAGTATCTGCTGTTAAATTTTTTAAAATGACCATCTTGCCCTTAGAACCAAAACTGAAAAAAAGCAGCAATATACTACAGAGACCAAATATGTAAATTTTCCATAAGCATATTACTATTAAACTATATTTTTTTTGTAATGCATATATTAAAAGTATCCACTTTTTTGTTGAGCTTTATTAAATGAGATAAAATGACAATTTTGTCCTTTATTGATTATAATGATGTGATATGATAGGTGTTGGGAGAGGGTCTGCAACTCTTCTTAAAAGTTGAAAGAGGCATCAGCTTGGAACTAGATCTTGCAGGGAAAAAGGCATCAGCTTTGTTCCTCAAGTGCTGAAAATCCGAATGGATTTGAGCTTCATGTTTTCATAAAAAAAAAAATTTACATCAATGTTGCACCAAATGGCGTTTTATTCTTCCTTTGGTCTCTATTGATGGTAGTATATTGATGGTAGTATATGGTATTGGGGTGTGTTTGGAATGTAAATGTCATTTTAGTCTTTAAATTTTGTTTGATCACTTATAGCGTGTGTATATAATTATATTTATGAATATATAAGCCATTTTTTTCTATCTAATCTTCATAATAATAATAATTATTATTATAAACTTGGTATCCAAAACGTTCGGAAACATATCGTATCTTCATAAAAGGTAGTTGCAATCGATGATGCCAAGACAAAAATGAAGAGTGTTTCACCACTTCTGACCTAACTTTGTGGTATATGCCTTCTGGTAGTTTGATTATCCGTATAATGCGCGTGCGGTTTGCGGTTTCTAAAATATTCAAACCGCATATGCGGTGCGGTTTGCGGTTTTGACTCGAAACCGCACCAAACCGCACCGCGCACACCCCTAATTCAGAGAGATATCACGTTCCAATACAAAAGTAATAATGAATCATGACGAACAATTCAACAACAGTGAAGTCTACACATCAAATGTGATGTATAAAAAAGTTTTGCACGATTCATAATGCACAATCAATCATGCGTTCATATACATTTGTAAATTATCTCAACTTTTCATTTTTAATTCTTATTGATTTCGTTTCCGCTAGCATGAGTTTTATTGATAATTGTTTAGATGTAGTAATTATTTGCACAAAATAAATAATCGTCTCTAAAAACTAATTTCTGAAAAAAAATATTCGCACCCGACGTTTGGCGCGGGTAAAAAGCTAGTGTGTGTGTATGTATATATATATATATATATATATATATATATGTGTGTGTGTGTGTGTGTATATATATATATGTGTGTGTGTCTATATATATATATATATATATATATATATATATATATATATATATATATATATATATATATATATATATTACATGCTTATCTTAATTTTTAAAAATGAAATGGTTAAGTTCTCATTCAAGTGAAAATTTGTCTCAAAAATAGAGGACATACAAAATGTACAAATCCAAAACATACAAAAAGTCCTATAGAAGTATAATAATGATCTAATTTGATAATATATCATATAAACAATTCAGCAACAGATTTGTGTCGGAGGGACGGAACTGAACAGTGCTACAAACTTTTTGCTGACATAATAATGGGTCGTTAAACCGTCGTTATTATCTCATCAACGACGTATTTGCGATGGAAATTAATTTTTTCAAGAACATTTTACACCAAATAATCTATCACTAACTCGTTTGCTAACAAAATTATTTTCGTCGCTGATTAGGTCGCTAACTTTCAGGGACAAAGCTTTTACTGGCTGGCTCATCAGTCGCTGAAGTTCTTTAGCAACGGATTTCCAACAGATACTTTTGTCGCTGAAGCCTGTATTTCTAGTAGTGGAAGTTGATAAAAGCACAAATCTTTAGTGGATTGGGTTTACCAGGTTTGGTCTGGTTCATGCACTAAACTTGAACCATTCTGCGACCTGTCTTATATAATGGGCGGTGACGAGAGGCTTAGGTGTTGTTTGTTATTTAAGATGTAAAATATCTGCAGTATGCGGGCTACATCTACATATATCTATAAAAGAAGAGGTAGACCAAACATATATAGTCTGGAAAAAGACTGTTTCTTTTTTAAGGTTTGCAGACTCCTAAAAGAAAATAAAATTAAAATAAATTGATTTTTTTAACTTAAAAGAGTTTCTTTATCACGGATTTTAAATAATTCTTATAGTAGTTCATTTAATAAATAATCATATAAACAAATTTCAATATTAGTAAATCACTTCCAAAATCTCTAATATAATAAAAGAATAGTTTTATTCTCCGTTTGACATGTGTCACCATATTAGGTTTTCATAATTAATGCATATTTTATTTTTCTTTTGTCATGTGTCACCTATTATGTCTCCTAATTAATGCATGTCATTTGTCAACCTATTGATTATTCATTTCAAATTTCAAATTTTAAAATTTTAACTATAATTACATTAAATTAGTAACATTAGAATAAAAATTAAAATTAAATTAATACAAATTATAAAGTTATAATTTTGCATATTTATTTAAATCAATGATTATAATTTTATATAACTAAAAAAATCTTTTAATTAATAATTTATTTAAAACAAATGATTAATAATTTTGAGTTTTTTTAACTATTAAAGTTTAATTAATTTTGTAATCGTGGTTTCCACAGGTTATAAACTAGTTATCTAATAAAAATATATCTTTTTCTTTGCAAGATAAACAAAAATAAGATACTAAAAAATGTATCATACATGCAACACATCTCTTTTATTCCAATTGCTTTAAATTTATATGGATCATAGAGATTTGGCTTAGTTCAACTAGGGAAAATGATAAACAAGTGAGATTTTCTTATCAATTTCGAGCATGAAAACTAGTAAACAAGTATGAAATACAAAACGTAAAAATTGTAATATATTTAGATGGAATAACATCAATAGTCATGTACACATTACACAAAAATTGATAGCTAGCATTGTCGGCTTTTTTAAATTTTCCATGTTTCTTGACATATTTGGTGTCGTCTACCTATAAAGGTTGTAAGTTTGAGTTCCCAATATGTTAAATTGAACTATAAACAATAATTGAATGTCTTCAAAGATGCAATGTCCCAATCATACATTTTATAAAACAATTGGGGAGCGATTTTATGTGATTTTTTAAAACCAAAATGATTTCTGCAAAAGAACATCCAAAACAATGACATAATCTGATTCCAAAAGTCATTTAAGCAAACACGACATCAGAACCACATACCCAAACCGATATCTAATTCAATGACTTGCACATCATAATCAGACAAGAGAAAAGATGGGATATAATTATAGAGAAAAATTATGATGAAATAAATACCGAACAACTGCGGGAGGCGGAGGTGTGGAGGAAAGGGTGGTATCGATGCGAAGCTGGTCGGTGACATGGAGGATGGTTCGACACTAGGTAGGACCTTTTTTTGTTTAAAAGGAAAATCCGGTGGTGAGAGGCTGTAGAACATTGGTGGTGGAGGGAGTTATCGATGGCAAGGAGGTAGCAATGGATTTCAGCGTTGGATGTGGACGTCGACGACAAAGGCCGTTGTGGACGGTCTGGAAGGCAGCAGCCAGTGAGAGGAGGAGGATAATCAATGAAGAACTGAAGATTGAATGGTGAGAAGGGAGGAGCTGATATGTTAAGAGAAATAAGTGTGTTTTTTTTTGTTGGGTCTTGAATAAAGTGTGCAGACCTTAAAAGAGTCAAGACTAAGGTGCTGTTTGTCTTTTCTGAGGCAAAATGTCTGCAGTCTGCGGACCACATCTGTAGATCTCTACAGTAGAAGAGGTGGACCAAACGTCTGCAGTCTGAAAAAAGAAGACTGTTTGTTTTTTTAACATCTGCGGGCTATTAAAATAAACTGAAATCTAAATAAACTGATTTTTTAAAACTTCAAAGCGAATTTTTTATATATTTTTACGACTTTATTATAAATATATAACGAATCTAGATCAACTTTTATGTATTATTATATAAAAAATAAAAATAAAAATGGTATTAATTCATATACATATTTGATAAAAACCAACAACTTTGA